GGATCAGTATGAGGAATCTGTTCTCCAAATCTTCGTGGATAAAAGACCATAAATTTAAGATCTATTTGATTAATGTGTAGGGGTCATGGTACACATGTCATAAAGGTGGCAACAGTTGCATACAGAACTGTCATTTGTACTCTAAAGGCAGCATTTAAATATAAGTGTTCAGTGCCCTACAGGCATACCCATCAGATCCAGCCTTTCCTCTGGGGTCAAAAATATCAACTGAAAGATGATGAAGTAGAATATTTTATGTAGCTCTTTACACATTAAAGTTTCACAGAATGTTTCACAGGAAATTATAGCCTTTTCATGCTTCCTTCATAACTGTGACACTTTCAATTAAATGAAACAACCATTTGCAACCAATAGGATGTTGATATTTTTACAAGGTGCTCTTCCATCAGAATGTAAGGAAACATATATCTACATAAGTGTAGAACTTTGGACATTAAGGCTGTTTTATTACCTGTTGTCTTGTAGTTAGGTTCAATGGTACACCTTAACCCAAATTGGAATAATGCAACGAAACACGGATCATATCATTTGAGTCTGAAGCACAATTTTGATGTTATATAAACATCCTAGTGCAGGTCTAATCAACTATTAGGCATTAGGCAGAAAAGGCTTCAAGGGGTGAAAAATAGAATTTAATTGATTTTTTTTTTCTGCAAATTGTTTGTTTTAAACATGATCTTTGAGTGTTTTTAATGTATTGACTCATTCAACCATCGTAACAACCCAATGGTGTAGATATTACTCCTCCATTTAACAGATTAGGGAACTGAGCCACAGAGAGGTCGGGAACTTACGTCACACAGCTAGGAAATAATTTGATTTCACCGTCAAATATATTCCCTAATCATATGTCATTCACCTACCAACTTGAGAGTCACTTGGTGGATTTTGATGAAGGAATCTATTTTAACTCTATTTGTACAATTTGCAGTTAAAAGAATAGAGGCTGAAGCAGTACTAAATCCTGCTAAAAGTAGCAGGATTTAAGGTGACTGCCACTCTGCTCCAGGGTAGAGGTATTGGAGCTTTCACAGAAAGGGCAGGTCTTTTCCTCCTCAAACTCCTTGTTTAAGTATGAAATCCAGTGAGGGAGAGTATATAGTTCTGGACACATAATGAATTCTAAAGTATGTTGTGACGAGGTCATAAAATTTGGAATCAGAAGACCAATTCTAGCCATGTGGCTTTAAGCAAATTACCTAGCCTCATTACATGCTTCACTTAATAAATAGAAATAATAATAATATAATTCCTTTCAAAGTTATTATAAGGATACAGTGAAGAAAATATATGAAAATAATGTAATTGGTAAAGTGGTATCTAGATATTGGTTAATTTCACAATTATCACAGTAATATTTGTAGTTAGTAAATATATAATTGTGGTTAATAAATATATAATGATTGGGTAAGGGTTATTCATGCCAGGACTTACAATGATAGAATCCTCAAATGACTTGATGAGGTTTACAGATTTAAAACTAGATTATTCAAGTGACTAGAGACCATCTACGGAAACAGCCCAAGGAGATCCTTCCGTTGCAAGAGCAAAGCTGCCAATTTCCGCTGAGCTCAGAACTTGACTTTAGGTTTTACGCATGAAGGCAAGAGAGATGCAGTGTGTAGCTATCACTTGAAATTCAAAAAACAAAATGCATTTGCTTCTCTTATTTGGATCTTTTAAGTGGAGGTATCTTTCTGGGTTCCAAATTACCTGGGTAATAACCACTTTTCTACAAATCTTATGACTAGGTAGATGAGTGCTATTTAAATTAGAAGCACATAGTGAGTAAAAGACATTTTGTGATTAGCTCTTCAAATGGCTACAACCAAGTTTGGAAAAAACAGTAAATATATGTTGCCTAAATGAAATATTTTTTCTGTACAACCGGACATGCCCAAGACAACTAAAGAAAAGAGACAAATGTCTAAACGGGGTATTGGTAGCTCTGAATTCCTTTGGAGATTTGGAAAAGATTTATTCCATTAAAGGACTCTTTACTTTGCATAGCTTGTTCTTATTCAACACCTGATTACACTTCCCTCCCTGCTCTCAGCAGGCCTGTAAGGTTTCTCTCCACTCAGTTATTAATCACTGCTGAAATGATATTTTTAAAACCTAGGAATGTAAGGAGAACTCAGTAGAGCCCATCGCTACAATCAAGCATTTTACTTCATAGTCACTAAGAGCTAACCTAAGATAATGAAGGAATTGGGTTTCATGTGGCTGAGTAAACAAGAAGTATTCTCTGAATTAGCAAAATTAAACTCATTTTGTGGAGTAGTGGAGTTTTTGTATCCTTGGATTGTTTTTCACATTAGTCTTGGTGGTGGTAGTAGTAATAGTGGTAGCAGATTAATAGTAGTGGCAGACTTTCTTGTTAGTAGTAGTTGTAGCAGCTATAATACTCATAGGACTAGTACTTATAATTTATATTAATGTTATAATAATAGAAGAATCAAGAGTTGTAATTATAACTTTTACACATTAGCAAATTCTTCCATCATTTTACTTAGTTCTTTGGGAATAATTTGAGACTTCACCTTTAAAATCTGGGAAATTGTAGTTCTAGAAAACTTTTTCCTGATGAGAGGAAGCAGCAGATAGCAATTCTCATGATCTGAAAGACTGAGTTACATACAATAGAATGGAAAATAATGTTTTGCCAAATCTATAAAAATAAATATAAATCTTATTTTTTTAAAAAACTAATAGTAATAATTAAGTATCTGAAATCATTAATGGCTCTGCATTTTTCAATTCTGTTTTTCTAGGAATTGCTGCCGCAATTTCTTACAGAGTTGTTTTAGTGAATGAATTTTGTATTGATTTAAAATTATCTTACTGCCTTGAACTACTGCCCTCTTTATTCTTTAAATAAATCAGTTTCTCTTATTAATACATGGAGAATTTAAAGTAAGGGAATAACTATCCAGAGCTACTGTCCCTGAAAGAACACTTTCAGAGTATAATTCAATTTTTTCCTTAAAAGATCATATTTATAGAATTTTTGTATCCATTTTAATGGTGAAATTAATGGTGAATATAAAAGCATGCTGGTGAGGATAGGAGGAAAAAAAGTAAATCATAGACCCTGAAAAATAGCCACTCTTCATCTTTATAATTTTAAGGATGTGATGTTGGACTTTGAACGTTGAGAGTGTGGCTCTGAAAATTACAGGGAAATCAAATAAAAACAATGACTCTTCCACCCTATCATAATATCTTTTAGTACACTTGAGCTACGTGAAATTGCAAATGTACAAAGTTCTGCTCAAGCCATAGGGAATTTATTTTGAAAGATATTTTTTGGCAAATGAGAAACAAAGAGTAATGGATGATTAAAACATGCTAAAGATTTTACCAGTTTAAGTATCATTTTTAAAGGTGAATAGCTATGATTCAGTTAGGCCTTTGATGAAAAATAAAAAGAAAGTCAAAGGGGGCTTCCCTGGTGGCGCAGTGGTTGAGGGTCCAACTGCCGATGCAGGGGACACGGGTTCGTGACCCGGTCCGGGAAGATCCCACATGCCGCGGAGCGGCTGGGCCTGTGAGCCATGGCCGCTGAGCCTACGCGTCCGGGAGCCTGTGCTCCGCAACGGGAGAGGCCACAACAGTGAGAGGCCCGCGTACCGCAAAAAAAAAAAAAAAGGAAGTCAAAGGAAAGACGACATTGCTGGAAAGACAGAAATTGATTTCAAAGTAAATGACTACAGATTTAATTCTCCAATAACTTACCTAGAAATTACAGTTGAGAATTTGAAACAATAAAGGCCATGATATGCCAATGAAAGCTTTATTCAGACCATGAAGTGAGATAAAAGTTTTACACTTTTAGAAGTTTACATTCTACATAATTTCGTGGTTTTAAAAAAAAAATCCCACTTTTTAAATTAATTCTTACGGAAATAGAAAAATGATCGATAGTAACCCCAGATATTAGTTAACTTACAATTGCCTAAACATTACAATTGCATTGTCACAAATAACTTGCTTTGGATTTTATTTTGTAATAATGTATGTGTGTATGTGTGCATTTTTTATGTTCTTAATTGTGCACTTCCTAGATTAATATGAAAAATTAGCTGGTATTCCCTGAGCTAACTCTCCTTTTAGGCAGCTAAAGACCTTGGAGGCAAGAAGCCAGTATAGGATTAACAATTTGTCGTGGATAATCCACAAAGTAAATAAACCCAGTGTGAATAATTGAAAGTGGGTAGGGTTGTAACATGGGAGGTATTGAAAGTTAATTCAAGACGAAGTTCTCCATAGTAAATTCCCTCTTGTTATCCAACAGCTAGAATAGGCTGGCATTGATAACTCTCTAAATAGAGAGTCATTTGTGCATTATCAGTGTTTTACTTACCATCTTATCTGAAAACATATAGTCTTTACCTCCTTGATACAGTGCTACTTGAGCAATCTGAGAAATGTGAAGTTTTTCCATGAGTGTTTAACCTCCTTTCAACTTTGAAAAGATGGTCCAAAACATTTTCTGCGTTTTAGTATTAAAGATACATATGTGTGATTTCTAAAATGTCCTAAACTGAGATTAAGAAAAGCAATTCAACATCATGAAGATACATTCATTTGTAAACTGGACTTGCCTGTTTGACTAGTGTTAAGATAACAAGGGATTACTAAAGGCAAATTTAATGTTTGAATTACTTATAGTACTATACTAGCCTCTTCAGCCTAATAATCTCTTCCAGGTAATAGTCACTTTCCTGCAATTAAAGTTGTACATACTATAGATTTCTGATTTACCAGTCTGCAAGGTGCTACCAAATCATATGGGAATTTGTCACTTAATCCAGACTCAACTATTGCTGATCAGACATTAAGACATTAATTATGTTTCTTTTTTTTTAGCCACCATGATATTTTATTTTTGAAATGTGACTGAAGGTGAGTTGGGATATTTTAATTAAAATTTTCTGGACTTTTTCTGAACATATTTATTATTTTTCTAATTATAGGTTTCATATACACTGGAGAAGTTGTACATCGAATGCTAACAGCCACACAGTACATAGCACCTTTAATGGCAAATTTTGATCCCAGTGTATCCAGAAATTCAACGGTCAGATATTTTGATAATGGTATGTACTGGTTAGCCTATTTTTTACTAACTGTATACTTATAAACATTGATCATCAGATTCATATTAATATTTTAGTAACCTTGGGTTTTTTGGGGGTAGACTGGAATTTTAAACTGCTTGATACAAATGCCCCGAGATGACAAATGTTACACTGCAGCTGTTAATACTGTTAATATGTGGAGTAAAGTATGTGGTTAAATGTCACTCGTTTATTCATTCATTCATTTGTTCATTCAACAAATGTTTATTAACATGTATTGGGCACTATAATAAATGAGTTGCTGTAAACGACTCCTCAAACAGAGCAAATACATTTATTTTATGCTATTTGCAATACATCCCTCCTATTAAAAAAAACAAAGGGTAATTTGTTAGTTTTGATCTTCGGATAGAGGCAAGTGGCATAATATATTGATATTAAATTTCCAAAACTTTTGAATAATATATACCATAAGATGAACACACCTTTTAAAAATCTAGGATTGTGGGTAATTAAAATCACTTAAGAAAAAAGTTTTCCTGACTTTGAAATATGAAATAGAGTAACTGACAACACTCTATCCCTACTATTTCTTTGTGGGACATATAAAATAGTCAGAAAAGACCTAGAATATGTCACTAAGTACCATTCAAATCTAAGTAAGAAATGTAAGGTCCTAAAGACATAAATGAATTTTCATGTCTACATCTTACTGAAAGCTGTAACTTTAGTAGAAAATGAAATTATAGGAAAAGAAGAGTTTGTTTTGGAAACTTAAAGATAGAAATTTCTGTTCTCTTTATAATACCAAAATAGTATTTATTTGCCCAAATGACAATTTTATCTTTTAAAATAATGAAAGCATGTGGCCTGAACAGAGTTTTTTCTTCTCTTGTTTTGCCTTAATGAGCAAGGAAGAAAATTACTATGGGGTAGCATAGACTTACTCGTGACCATGGCTTTCTGAAAATGACATCATCTTGCTGAAAGAGATCTGACCAGTGTGATAAAGCCACTTTACAGGTCAAAATAGCAAAAGAGGAAGAAAACTAAACATACTTAGATGTACACTGTGAGAAATGCATTTCAAACAATTTGAATAACACCAAAGTGTGATCCAATATGAAGTAATACTAAATGTTGGCCATAATAATTATTTCCTTCTATTATTTTAAGAACTGTTATACTCTGTCCTCCCACTTAAAAAAACTGAGGTACTAAGGCCCAAAGATGTACAAGTAGATTGTAAGTATACTTTAGACAGAGCTGCAGTGAGCAACTTATCTGAAGCTTATCCCATGACCTACTAGACAGAATGAATCTACCCTAAGTAAATAAGAAAGTTGAATATTTTCCAAGCTTTGTCACTTACTAGGTGATGGTTGGGAACATTTACTCATGGGCACAAGCTTCTGATGACCAAGTTTTTAGACTGTTAGCATCAAAATCATAAAGCAGGGGCTTCCCTGGTGGTGCAGCGGTTGACAGTCCGCCTGCCGATGCAGGGGACACGGGTTCGTGCCCCGGTCCGGGAAGATCCCACATGCCGCGGAGCGGCTGGGCCTGTGAGCCATGGCCGCTGAGCCTGTGCATCTGGAGCCTGTGCTCCGCAATGGGAGAGGCCACAACAGTGAGAGGCCCGCGTACTGCAAAAAAAAAAAAATCATAAAGCATACTAAGTCTCTTTCCCCATATGCTCTCTCACACACCCATGTACCTAGGTAGCTCAATATTTAAATTTTACTTTTATTTAAATGATTTTTAAAAATTAATGTATGCCACTTCAACTGGATTCTAAATTCTTTATAAACTAAGACTGTGACTATTTATAAGAAACTATTTTCTCTTCAATACCTGGCACAAGAGCTCAATACACAGTCAGTCCTCAATAATTAATTATTCAATGAATGAATATATGAAAAAAATTAGGTATGTAAGATGATTTTTAATTCTGAGAGTTGTGAAAGTACGAATACTCAAGAATTACTGTATTTTACTTTATTGAAATATCTTCTGTGTGATAACCAATGGGAATATTGCATTCTTACAATATAATAATAAAAGCTAGTAATTGCCTGTGTTTTAGTAAATGATTGAAGCACTTTTCAGTTTTGTAAGGATCTTCACAAAGTCCTTTTATACCATAGCAACTTACTGAAATATTTCCAACTTTGATTGGTTAGGATATTTGAAGGAATGCTTAAGGATGGGAAACTCAACATTTTAGGAAAGCAAAAACTTCTCTAGAGGAGACAGCAGTTTAGAACATTTCTTCTAAGATAATATTTCTATAAGTATTAAAGCACTAGATTTTAAAAATCAGACGATGCTTCCAAATATTATAGCCAGCCTAGAAGTCTGAGTCACAGAATATTAATGCACAAAAACTAGAGAAGTTGTAAAACTAAACCTTTTATTAGAAAAATAATTTGGTGGCTCATAAATAGCAAATTAGAAAGCATAATTCTTGCAGTGATCAGAAGCCTAATCAAGCACAGAATCAGAAAATTTGGAGTTAATAGTGACCTTAAATGCCCCTAGATCAACCTACTTGCCTGTTTTTATTTTGGAGATTAAGAAATTGGCATCCATTACTGATTAGACAATTTGATCACCCTAGGGATACCAAGTCCCAACTGCTCAGTTCCATTAATCACATAGGCTGGTACAGCAGCTTATGTGGTCTGTTATATGAGCTTAAATTACAACTTCAGCTCTGCCAGGAAGAACTTTACCATTAGATTTTGTGCCCATCATCAGAGAAACAGTGTAGGATTGTCAGTCATAAGCCAAGAGATGCACCACACTAACCCAGCTCTTTGATGAATTCCAAGGTTTGCTCTTGGCAGATTATTCTCGTACATCATAGCTGATGACCAAAGAAAGTGTCTTTTGGGTTCACTTACCTAATTGCTTCCTATATCAGGTACTACCTAGGAAGCAATATGTGAGTAAGGCGCTGCTTAGAGAAATACAAGATCGTATCTCTAAAGCCACTCTCACTAACCTGCAGACCATAAAGTTTTAGATTCAGCAACTTGTAATAAAAGGTAAAATTTGATATATTGATTATTCAATAAAACAAGATAGAGACATATAGTTAATTTTACAATTTAATGATAACATTTACACTCAACTAATCTTACTAGTAGAACCATTTAAATTAACAAATGCTGGGGGAGCTGTGCTACTACATAATATAAAACATATTTGCACAATTAGTGTTATTTTTAAAAGTCTGCTACTAACAATGTATTGAAAATATCATCACCAGAATTTGCATTAAAAACATTTAATTACTCAATTTAGGTAGACCTCTATTGTGCACAAAGAATTTGAGGAAACTATATATTTTTTGATTGATTGCAGAAATCCCTAGAAGGCAAGAATTATTCCTCCCATGTTGTAGAAGAAACAGGTTCAAGCAGGTTAATTGTGTCCAAGGTCACACACAAAGTATTAGAGGCAGGACACAGGTCTAGCTCTTCTGCCCTCCATTTCAGTGTTTCCTCTGCACCGTCAAAGTGTCTAATAGAAATTAGTGAGTAAGAAGGAGACTAGAGCTTGAGAGTTGTGAACACATGTGAAAGAAAAGAAGTGGTTGTTAGGAGGAGTTTCATGATCAGAAAACCCTTTTACTTCTACAATTATGGGAAGTTTCCTGTCTATTATCGTCCTCTTGCCTTTTCCAGTTTTTAGAAAAAGGTTGTATAGATACAGAGATGCCCGTGGAAGGAAGAGACCTGGGTTTTCACTTACAACAGGGGTATGTCTTAGGTGCTGCTTATAACTAAAAGTACCAAGGTAAAAGTAAAAAAAAAAAAAAAAATTTACTTCTAAAGTTTTATCTCAAGGAAATAAATAGATTTTTATATTTAAAGGGTATAGCATGATAATTTGATATATATATATACATATATATATGTATATATATATGTATATATATATACATTGCAAAAGAATTTCCACCATCAAGTTAATTAATATTTTTATCACCTCACATATGTACCTTTTTTCTTTTCGGGTGGAAACACTTAAGTTTTATTCTCAGTAAATTTCAATTATATTGTACAGTGTTAGAAACTGTAGTCACTGTGTTATACATTAGATCCTCAGACCTTATTCATTGTATAAATGAAAGTTGGTATCCTTTTGTCAGCATCTCTCTATTTCCCTCAGACCCTAGTCCCTGGCAGCCGACATTCTAAAATCTGTTTCTTTGAGGTCAACTGTCTTTGTTTTGTTTTGTTTTTAGATTTCACATGTATGTGATACCATGCAATTTTTCTCTTTCTCTGTTTGGCTTATTTCACTTAGCTTCATGCCCTCCAGATACATCCATGTTGTCACAAAGGCAGGATTTCATTCTTTTGGGGGCTGAATAATATTCCATTGTGTATATATACCACATATTCTTTATCCATTCATCCATAGATGAACACTTAAGTTGTTTTCATACTTTGGCTACTTTAAATAATGCTTCAGTGAACAAGAGAGTATAGATATCTCTCTAAGGAAGTCATTTTGTTTCCTTTGGTATATACCCAGTAGTGGGATTCCTGGATCATATGGTAGTTTTCTATTTTTAATTTCTTGAGGAAATTCCATACTGTTTTGCACAGTGTCTGTTCCAGTTATGTTTCCACCAATAGACTATAAGGGCTCTGTTTTCTCTACATCCTTTCCAGGATTTGTTACCTCTTGTCTTTTTGATAATAGACATCGTAACAGGTGTGAGGTGATGTCTCATTGTGCTTTTGATTTGTATTTCTCTGATGATTAGTGATGCTGAGCACATTTTCATGAATCTCTTGGCCATTTATATGTCTTATTTGGAAAAATGGCTGTTTAGGTCCTTTGCCCATATTTTAATTGGGCTATTTGTTTTCTTGCTATTGAGTTGTGTGAGTTCCTTATTTATTTCGGATAGAATCCCTTATTAGATACATGGTTTGCAAATATTTTCTCCTATTCCATAGGCTGCCTTTTCACTTTGTTGATGGTTTCTTTTGCTGTTC